ACGTCCATCGTCATAGCCAGCGGCATCCAAGCCTGAGGACGAGTTGTGTGCTCTGCCTGCCGATCACGTCCACTAGGACATACACCATCCGTCTCTGAAACGCACATCACTACTGTGTAGCCTCTAGCTGCTGGCCTGTGAAGAGGTTAAGGATGCAGTACCGAGCGCCAGAGCACAGGGTACTCCATACAGGATACAGCGTACGGTTACAATATGAATAGAAGAACAATGATAAAAGAGAGGAAGATGACGAGAGACCGACTTGCTACATCAACGAGAATGGAAGTTCTTGCCAGTGTTAAGATATACATTTCAACCCCGAGGAGAGACTCCACCAGGGGGCCCGTCCTGTGCCTTCCTGGGGCCGGAAAATTATATACTTAGTATATATATACGCTTGCGCTGTGGCAGAAGGGAAGAAGGGATAAAAAAAGATGCGAGGCAGAAACGAGACGAGACGAGACAAGACGGCTGGTAGTGTCGTGTGCTTGTCTCTTTGTTTTTTTTTTTTTTTATTTTTTTTTTTTCATGCCTACTCTTTCCCCCTGATGATGAAGAAGAGATGAGGATGAACAGATGAATAGGAGAAAATGACGATGATATAGTGGATGATAGTGACGAAAGATGACGTCTCTGCTGGCCTGTGTCGTGTGAAAAAAAAAAAAAAAAAAATCGTTCATCCGTGGCGAGTTCGTTTTCATCTGCTGTCCTATCATGACGATGATTATAAGAGAAGAGAGAAGGTGATGCTCCCTCTCCACGAACGACGGAGAGAGGACATGCGAGTAATGGACGGGTGGAGGCAATCGTGTTTCACATCTAATTATGAGGGACTTGCTCCTTGGCTCCACGGTTTCACCTTTGTGAGAGGCAGTACATGTTACTGTTGGAGTATAGTTCCATCTACATCGAGAGAAGTGATGAAAGGAGGAAGAAGACGAAGACGATGATGATGATAAAGAGAAAAGAACGAGAAGCCCAGAGGAAAGACGAGGCGGAAGGCTAGATCTCTTATTGATGACCGATTTGAGTCGAAAAAACGCCATCCTTTGCTGCTCTATTAATATCTTAGGAAGGCTAAGGTTTACTATAGGTAATCCCTCTTAGGGCCGTACCGTCACTGTCGGTACACACATTAGTATAAGTATTACATCCCAAGCAAGGGAGAGCAAGGACTTCCTTACATCGGCGATGCATCGACAGGTTTTAGTCGCTGGCTGTCACGGCTGAGTCTTCCGGCCGGACACGAGCACAGGGAAAAGACCGTTCGGGTTCAGCATCCGTGTCTCCCTTCTTCGTACTGACCTACCTATCTTGTTCTGTCCATCCATCGGTGGTATGTATGGCATGGGAAAAAAAAAGGAAGGGCTGTACTCCGTACACTTGGCAGGTTATATATATAAATATAGGACGACCAGAAACAAGCCTTGCCTGGGTATCTACTATGTATGATACAGGTTGCATCCACCTATAGTTGCCAGCTGCTATGGCCGGGAAGTAGATGTAAAAGATGGCATGTCAGCGTGTTGTACATATAAATACATCTTCTCCCCTTGAGGCTGGCGATGGGCAAGATGGACCAAGGGTGGAGTTTTACCTTGTGCATCTCATCGAGCTGGTTGGCTGGCCCTTGCCGCTGCCACGGAGTTTCTTTTTTTTTGCTTCTTCTCTCCCTCTTCCTTCGTCCAATGCGCGGAGCAGAGACTTGGACATAGTACGGACACTCTGTGGCCGTGTGCACATCATGTAGACGGAAGATAACTGTTAGATATATCCACACACTTATAGAAGCTGTTATTATGTATAGAAGAGTGATGAAACAGGCACAGAAAGAGCCAAAAGTTGGTACCAACTTAAGTGCTATATTTAGACGCCAAGCCAGCCGCATCAAGATGAAAAGTACATAGTCAAGTAAGAGGATGAAGCGAGGGAAGAGGGTGAGGAGAAGAGGGTGAGGAGAGAGAGCGGAGAGCAAAGAGTACGCAGATATGCCATACAGATATAAAAAGGAGAAGAGAGGAAGAAGAGGAGGAAAAGAGAGAAAGAAGAGAAAGAAGACTGAAAGTAACCGTACCATACCGTATCATACCAGAACGTGACCATACATAAGTCACGGGCCCTTACCCCACTGGCCCCAAACATGGGCCTAAACAGGCCTAAAACAAGGCCCCAAGCAAGGGCCCAT